ATGAGAAACTAGAAATTGAATAAGCTATACAATAGAGCTGCGATAGAGCAATAGCTCACAAAATTAATAACCCATCACATTTAAATAGGCAGAGACTATGTTAGTCTCTGGCACCAACAGATCCATTTACTATTTTGTTGACTAGGGTTTTTTTTTTTTTCCTAAGTAAATGAGTTGCCAACATTTAAAACTCAAAGATTTCCTATTAACATTCAAATGTCTGGCTTCTCTCTTAAAATCGTATAATCTAGCAATGCTGGGCCAGCATTCTCAATGACAAACACGGGTGCAATTTATTATGCCTCAGGTCTACATCCTGTCACCAATCCCTTCAGGCTCCCAGCCACTGAATCCCAGGGTTTATTTCCCTTGTCACTGAACTTAAGCCATCAGCCAAAGTTTAAACTGTTATGTGTACCAAGGTAAGTGGGTAGGGTAGCGGGTAAATTCATAAGTAAACAATTCAGTCAAATTACACTTTGAAGGTAATCTGACCATAGCCCTTCATTTAAAATTTAATTTAAAATTTATATTTGACACAAGGAACACACAAATGTTTTTGCACCAAACATAAAATGTATTTATATGCGAAGTTGCTCGCTGTAGCATTGTTTGAAATGACAAAACACTGAGAACCACTGAAACGGTCATCAGTAGGAGACCAGCTAAATATTCCACTGTGTGAAGTAATCACACAATAGAATACTGTACAGCTATTTTTACAAGGGAGAGAAGGAATAAAGTAGATTATGTACCACTCAGAACACTGCCCAGTAATATATTTGAAGAACTGAAAGAAAAGAGGGAGGAATAGTAGAAAAGAAACAAGCAATTGAAGGACAGCATGTATAATATCATCCCATTCATGAGAAAGATTCTTTTTCTTAAGATAGGGTCTCACTATGTAGTCCAGGCTGGGCTTGAACTCACTATGTAGCTCAGGTTGGCCTTGAACTCTTAGTGATTCTCCTGCCTCACCCTCCCTAATGCTAGGATTACAAAGTACACCACTACGCCCAGTGAGAAACATTTTTAAAAGAAAAAAAAGATGAAAGTACAGGTACAGGATACTTCTAGGACATGTAAGAACAAAAGCTATATACAGAACAGGTAAAAGGGACAGAGGAAAGAGTTAAAGAGTTGCCTTTTACTTTCATATAACTTTCTGTCCTTTTTTTCTTCTTTTTTTGTCTTGGTCTTTTTGAGACAGGGTCTCACCATGTAGTCCAGGCTGGCATTGAACTCACTATGTAGCCCAGGCTGGCCTCAAATTCTCAGCAATCCTCCTGTCTCTGCCTCTCAAATGCTGGGATTACAGTATTAATACTTACTACTATCCCTGCTTTGCAGTTGTGCCAGCCACACACCAGCCCTCCCCCACCACCCATGCTTGGCTGGTGTTATCATGAACAGGATCCAAACGTATCCCCCCAAAGAGGAGATGGGGGCTTCCACTTGGCCCGGCAGGTTCTTGACTCTCATCATAGAAAGACATTTCAGGATGCAGAAGTGAGAGGCCTCAGCAGATTTATTAGTCAGAGTTAGAAAGTAAGAGAAAATGGGAAGGGACTTCAGCCTGAGGAGCTAAAGGGGGCCCAGCTCTGATGAACAGGATCACACTGGCCCATTAACAAAGGAACAATCAGGCGTGGTGGTGCACACCTATAATCCCAGCACTTGGGAGGCTGAGGCAAGAGGATCTCCATGAGTTGGAGAGCAGCTTGGGCTACTACACAAGCAAGTTCAAGGCTGGTCTGGACTATATGGTGAGACCCTGTCTCAAAAAAATGTTTAGAAAGGAATGAGTATATTATAAAGGGCTAAGGCAGGCCAAGGTCTGGTTAGTTATTATCTCAGTTCTGGTTTTGTAAGACAGCCTAGGGAGAAGTCTTTATTACATGGGTGGACAATTTGGTCTCTGCTTGAGGCAGGGGTCTTCCTGGAATCCAAGGTAACTATAGGTTTAGTGCAAAGATTAGATATTTGCGAGTGCTCTTGGTAGCTGAATGTTCCTATGAATTTCTTCTGTCGGTGTCTTCAATCTTGAAAGGGGATAAGTTATGTATACCCAGGGTTAATCAACCTTATGCTGTATTGCCAGCTTTTAGACAGTCACTTCCTAAATGATTTACCTGTCTGAGTAGATCAGCTGAGAGACAGATATACGAGGAGTGCTGGCACATGCCCATATCCCAGCAGTCAGGAAGCTGAGGCAGAACTGTGAGTTCAAGACCAGCCTTGGCTATACAGCAAGATCTTATATCAGCTCCCCACCATCACATACACACACACAATGAGGATACAAATTAAAGGTAAAGATTTGTTCTGCTTTTAGTTACCTATTAGGCATCTATGGGACAACTGAAAAGCCACTGTTTAATTGTTATGTTGTGTTTAGTTTTTTTGGCAAAAGAAACTCTCAAGTCCCTGACTGCTTCAGAAAAAAAAACACAAACCATGCTTTTAATGAGTAACAGATTAAGGGCCCAGGAGCTTGTTTGTCTTCTGTCCCTATGCTGGTTTCTCACTGTATTGGTATCACAGGCCTCAATGACCAATCTAGGATGGCTATTGCCAAGTGCAAGAGATAGACTCCATCCAAGGTAAGTTCCCTCCGGACCCCAGTCAGCCTTTGAAAATGGGAGCATCATCTCCGGTCGGAGCATTTCCTCCAGATAGGCAGAGGGCACCACCTCCGAACAAGAACAATCTCATTGCCTATTAAAGTTCCCATTTCAAACAGATACTCCCACACACAAATGTGTTTCCCCCAGAGACTTCCTAAGACCTTCAACAAAGCAGTTTGAGAAGTAGAAGCCAAAAATCCCCATCCACACTTCTTGCTTTCCTTCTACCCTTTCCTGTTCACAGACCCTCTCCCTAATATCTCCTGTGTTCTTCCAAAAAAATGGTGCTGGAGGCCAAATACCAACCCTGACCAGGTGAGGGGGAGCCAGGTGATATTTACCAGTCTCCCAGGCCAGAACTGTCTTTTCTCAGAATCCTTTGCTCTTGAAGTATAGCCTGCCTTACCCATCCCACACCCTAAATCTCAGCCCCTACATCTGGCTGTCCACCTCTGGAGAACAGGTAAAGAGAGATTAAGCCCTGTAGGCCTGTCCCCTTGAGCCAGGCCCTGAGAACCCCTGCTGCAGTCCTGTGCCCCCTCCCCCAGTCCCACACTCAGGTCAGGAGCTGGGAAGTGCTCCCACAGTGCATTAACTCTGAATAGTGAAGAAGAAAGAGGAATGTGGCACTATCCAGCCTCTGTCAATAATTCATGATGCTCAGACTGAGGGGCACCAGTCAGAGTCAGTTTTCCTCTGACATGGGGAAAATTAGACTTAGGTTCTCTTATCTCATCAGGATGTGCTGAGTGCAACTGTAACTTCTTTTTTATGTATCATAAATCCAGTGCATGCCTGTTATTTCACTTGCTATTCATACCCCTCTGTGCAATGCTGAAACTCCTTTTTCAGCCACCCAAATGACCAACACACTTACTGAATGGACCTTCAGCAAGCAGGAATTGTATTAAGCAGTGATCCCCAGTTCTGGATTTCCCAGACCAAGATTCAATACCCTCTAACTGCAGTGACTGACATAACGTTGACACACCGATGAGTTCTCCAACTAATAACACTTCTAAACCTGCTCATCTGCTTCCATCATCTTTTCTTTTCTTTAATTTTTATTAGTGAAGGTTTGTAGTGCATAATGACTACATTCATCATGGGAAGCCGGTACACATACACAGCACATCTTAATTCTTTTTACTGCCACTTCCTGTCCCCCTCCATCTCTTTCATCATCTTTTCTGAAAGGATGACCACCAAAGAGCATATGAAAAGTACAATCCAGAATAAAGAACTGTTAAGTTAAATATGAGAAGCTTCATGAAATTCACTATATTATCTTTATTTTTTTCATTTTGCCTCAAACTAGTGAAAACAGTGCCATAACCAGCACTGCTTCTCAGCCTGGCATTTGGAACCCAGTGGGTTAAACCAATTTAGAAGCTTGCACTTGGGCTTGCTGAGGCCTTTCCAGAGTGTACCATAAGCCATCCAGATTTATTAATTCTCTCAGAAACCCAGGAGGGAGATCATTTCAGCCCACTTGGCAGAAATGGAGGCTGAAGTCTTGAACACAGAATTTATAGCCGGTGAGGACTTTATTCATCATCCATTCCACAGCCTCAGTTCGCAGATGAAGAGTCTGGCCTATGGCAGCAATAATAATTATTATGTGGTGGCAATAATTACTATGTGTTTAGTAGTTTACAGTTCATAAAGCACTTTTATATTCAGCAAATATTTATTGAACTAGGATAGAGGCCAAGACCTGGAGACAGTGATTAGGGAAAGTTTGGGGGCTCCTGAGTCTGTATTTCCACCACTGGCTGGAGGACCCTCTAGCATCCTCGTTACCATTTAGTCGCTGTAAAATGGGTAGTCCCGCTCGATGAGTCAGGGTCTCGCCCCTGAATACTGGTTACCATAGTGACCACAGTCTGCCCTCCATCTCTAAAGATGGAGTCCTTGAAGCACAAGGAAGGCCAGGCCCAAGCTTCATCGCGTCTCCTCTGCTGGCGCCTCTGCCTTCACGTGGTGGACTCCATGAAAGAGCACAGGCCTCACCTTCAAAGGCAGTCTGAAAACATCTGCCCTCCCGGGCACTGTCATCTGCGTAGATCTACGCTTTCTTAAGAAGGAATTTTGAGGTTTGGGGAAGCAAAGGAAATTAACTCAATCTTCTCAAGCCCCATCAACAAAAAAAAAAGTGGGTAAGCACACGTAGGAAGAGGGGGCTGGAGCGCACAGAGCCCTGCAGGGAGGGGCCCTGGTAACCTGGACAGCAGCTCTTTCTCACCCCAGGAGAGAGCCAGTGGTGCGCAAAGTGCAGACCAAGAGTCACGGCGCCGGCGTGCCGGCAGAGGACGCGGGCGGCCACAGCCCTCCCGACTCAGCCCGCCCCTCGCCCTGCCTCCTGCCCTATCAAGCATTCACCTCGCAGAGCCCAGGCCGCCCAGCCCGGCGCCCGAGCCATGCGCAAGGCGGCACTGCGGCTAGGCGGCTGCGCGCGGGCCTGGAGGTCGGTGAGGATGGCTAGCTCCGGCGTGACCCGCCAGAAACCGCTCGCGAATAAGGTGGCCCTCGTTACGGCCTCCACCGACGGGTGAGTGCCTGGGCTGGTGTCTCCGGGGCCGAGGGGTCTGGAAACAGGGGGCCTCTTCGTTTTTGTCTCCTCGGGCCCCGTGCTCAGGCCTCAAAGGCCGCCAGAGGCCCCTACCCTAGAGGACACAGCAGCCACGTGGTCGGCCTGCAGTTCCTCCGAATCCCCAGACTCCGGACCTTCCACTGCCAGCCCTCCTGTCCCCGCTACCTTGCCCAGGCTTGCCAGCTTGGTGCTGCCCCCATCATAGAGACAGCTCCGCCTGCTCTGGGCTGCCCCAATCAACAAACAGCGCCACCTAGAGTCTGGGAAGACCGCAAAATCCAAAACTCCAGTTTCAAAACAATCTTACCATCCCTGCCCATCCACTATAATGTTCCAGACACTCCATTTGGGCTCCTGACCAGTCTCCTAAAGCAACATCTCCCCTAACCTAGATGGGACACAAGACCCACATGAAGTGATTTTTGTTTAGGTTGAGTACACTCTGGCCTACCCTGCCCAGCCTATGTGTCACCCACAGCTCTTATCTGTCCTGTTTCTCATTCCTATAGGACTTTGCTACACACTAGTTCCTCACAAATCTGAAATACAGATTATGAGAAATGCTAATGACTGACAAATGTAAAATATGTAACCTTTACTCCCAGGGGAATATTTACATTAACCACCCTTTCCATGTACCCCCAAAACATAACTAAGGATAGAACTTTGGAGATGAGGTACTGTAGCAAGAGAGATGTTTTGAGTGTAGTTCTTTCCAGTGAGAACTTCAAACGACACATATGGCTGCTACTGGATACTCAGCACATTTCTTTCCCCTCAGTCCCCACTGGGTATGGGACCTGTCACCAGGATTAGGGCCTGTGGAAGGTGATGTCAATTCCTGGGAATAGAGGCTGAGGGACAAGATCATAATAAAATGAGGTAAGCATGACTACCTGCATGGTAACGGCTGTGCCATGGAGCCTATTTTTTTGTTTGTTGGTTGGTTGTTTTTTTGTTTTTTGTTTTTGTTTTTGTTTTTTTGTCTTTTTGAGACAGAGTCTCCCTCTGCAGTTCAGGCTGGCCTTGAGCTCATTTTGTAGCCCAGGCTAGCCTTGAACTCGCAAGGATCCTCCTGCCTCAGCCTCCCGAGTGCTGGGATTACAGGCGTGTGCCACCACGCCCAGCTAATGGAGCCTATTTTACACCTAGTAGAGACACATGGAGATCATATAGAGGAAGAGCTAAAATCCAAATCCAGGCATTCTGACTTAGGAGCTCATGCTCACAGCCTGTCTTAGCTTCTTTTCTCTCATTGCTGAGACAAAATACCTCGTACCCAAAGTTAAAGGGGGAAAGGTCCATTTAGCTCACAGGTTGTACAAGTTTCGGTCCATTGTCAGCTGGCCCCAAGGCAGAGTGCCTTCACAGAGACCAATTCATGGTGGCCAGCAGGTAGCAAAACAAGAGGCAGGAGAGACAAGATTCTTTCTGTCCCTAGTATTGTATGTAGCTACCCGCCCTAGGGCACATGTAGCACTCACACCCTTAATGCTAGCCGGAAACATGCTAAACCAATCGGTGGAGTGATTTCCTAATCACACACCCTTAATTTCAGCATCATTCATGTAGATTCAACCACCTCTGGAAAAAGCCCCATGATCACATGAGGCTTTGGGGAAACATCAGGACAGAAACCATAACACAACCTTTTCCCCTGTACAGTTCTGGGCACTCTTGGTATTTCTCTTCCTGCAGGATCGGCTTCGCAATCTCCCGGCGTCTGGCCCAGGATGGGGCCCATGTGGTCATCAGCAGCCGGAAACAAAAGAATGTGGACCGCGCAGTGGCCACACTGAAGGGGGAGGGGCTTAGTGTGACAGGCACCATATGCCATGTGGGGAAGGCCGAGGACCGGAAGCAGCTGGTGGCCATGGTGAGCAGCAGGGCTATGGGCACTGAGCCAGGAGGTGACAGAAGGGAGCCAATTTGAGCCTCCATCTCTGTTTTCCTAGACAGTGTTAGTGAAATCCAACCAAGCGCTGTTAACTAAAATATAGCAGGGCATTCATATACCCACTCCAAGCCACCAGGAATGTTTAATTGTGTCACTTTCTGTTATGTCCATACCTTAAAGCCTAAGAACCATCTATCTCAGTCAAAGAAACAAAAACTACTCTAATGCTTCAGCCCAGCATTATCCCTTGGGCACCCACTAAAAACAGCCAGTCTTGACTCTCTGGTAGTTTCCTGTGTCACTGGGCACATGGAAAGGGTAAATACAATCGCAAAATAGATGTTCCCACCCACAAGCTGGAAAGTGATCCCCTCATCTTCAGTTTAGAGTCCCTGGGAGCTTACTGGAGGCAGCCCATCATGTTTCAGTCACCTATTCACAGCGTGTGCTCTTTCCTCTGTTCAGAACCCTACATAGGTTTTCTCTAAACCTGCCAACAACTCAAGCAAGGCAAAGACTGTTCTTCCTGTTTACACAGACCAGTTCGGATAACTGGAGCCACTTTCCAAGGTCCCATAGCCAGTAAGGAAAGAACTGTGATTCAATCAGACTTACCAAGCTCCTTTTTTTGGCAGCCTACAAACTACTGGGCACTTCTCCATTAACATAAGGCCAGCCCTTAGGCACCCATATGGATTTTAGTCTCAACATGTCTAAGCCAGTGTCACAGTGGTATTGACAGCAGCTTCCCAGCTACACAAGAAAATATGGGGCCAGGTATGGAGCTCAGTGGCCCAGCGCCTACCTGGCAAGCATGAGGTCCTGAGTTCGATTCCCAGTATCACCAAAAAGAAAATATAAACCACCTAGGCTCCTCTTCCCTGAAGGGTCAGGGTATGTGCTTTATTTCCTGGAGTGAATGGGAGAACCTTACACACAGGGAAAATATAGGATTGTGGTAATAGGTTGGAAGGTTGGTAAAAATAACTTGGGTAATCTCAGAAAAGAAGGCTCTTAAATTATGGTCTACATCCCGGTACTGGAGAAAAACCAAAAAAAAAAAAAAAAAAATTATGGTCAACAGTAGTATGGTGGGCAGAATAAAGTAATTCTATTTTTAAGGAATCTTTGGCAGATGTTCAAATGTGCACTGCAGAAGGTCAAATGTGAGTCTAAGAAGGTCACCTTGCCTGGCATAGGTTGTTGGACAGAGCCTGAGGTTATGACCTTAATCTTGAGAGTGAAGGGAGACATTTAGGAGCTTGGGCCAATCAGTCACTAGCCGTTTGAAATGTATGTAGCAATTTTTTTTCAGTGCTGGAGATTGAATCCAAGGCTTCATGTAATTTAATGTCAGAATCCTAGCTGGGTTTAGTGGTACATGCCTGAAGCAGGAAGATGGCAAATTCAAGCCCACCCCAGGTAATCTGATGACTTAGTGAGGCACTGTCTCAAAATAAAAATGTAAAGAAAGGACTATAAGCCAGGCATGGTGGTACATGTAATCCCAGCACTCAGGAGGCTGAGGCAGGAGGATTGCTGTGAGTCTGAGGCCAGCCTGGGCTTCATAGTGAGACCCTGTCTCAAAAAGACAAAAGAAAAACAGGACTATGGATGTAACACCGTGCAAAGGCTCTGGGTTCAATCCCTAATACTAGAAAAAAAAAAAAATCCTACTAGGAAAACATCCTTCCCCCACTCCCCCAACCAGATCTACCTAGTGGGGTCCTGCAGCTCTGGCTCAGAAGTGGGGCTTTAGCTAGACCTTAAGGAATGAGTAGAAGTGAGTGGGGATGTAAAGATAGAGTAAGGATGAGATTACAGATGACCCTGCAAAATGAGCAGACAGCCAAGAGGGACTGAGGAGAGAAGGGAAGTCTGTAAGACCATGGCAGAATGCATGGGTCCAGGAGTAGTGCGGGAAACGGACTGCGTGGGAGGAACAGGGACAGCAGCCTCCCTAGGCTTGAAAGGCTTCTAGATATCTACGTAGGAAATAAGGAGGAATTTGAGGCTTTAAGCAAGCTGAAACAGTTGTTAAGGAAGGACAGTCTGGCAGTGATAGAAAGAATAAATAGAGAAGACCCTGGACCAAGGACATTGTTTCTCACAGGTCTAGAGCAGTGGCAGTGGGATCAGAATAGACTGCCCAAGAGACATTTAGTAGGAACCAACCAAGATGATTCCAGCCACATGTCTAGAAATTAGAAATAGGAGAAATGAGTCAAAAACAATTTTCAGGAAGTCAGTGTGAACAATGTCAGGGTAGGAAATGATAGAATAGGGCCGAGGAGCTAGCTCAGCGGCACAGTACCTGCCTGGCAAGAGCAAGGTCATGAGTTCGAATCCTAGTACAAAAAAAAAAAAAAAAAGGAAATGATAGGACAGCCAGCAATTTGAGAGGTGTTCTGCCTATTACCAGCTATTAGCCTGCAATGAGGAAAGCTGCTACCCTGAGAATGGCTACTACTCTTAGCATCCTGATTTGCACCATGATTTTCAAGTGAATGGAAACCAGATTAGCGGCTTTTCCACTTGATTATACTGTTTCTAAAAAAAAAAAAGAAATGTAAATAAATGTCAGGACACAGACAACTCCTATGTGGGTATAGTAATCATGCAATTCAGAACCAGAACTTTAGAGAAAGGCTCATGGTACCTTTCTCTTTCATCTTTATGGCTCTGTCTCTGTTCAATCAAACCAGCCTTCTGGCCAGGTGTGGTGGCTCACACTTGTAATCCCAGCACTTGGGAGGCAGAGGCAGCAGAATCATCGTGAGTTTGAGGCCAGCCTGGGCTGGGGTACATAGTGAGTTCAAGGCCAGCCTAAATTACCTAATGAGACCCTGTCTCAAAAAAAAAAGAAAAAAAGAAGAAACAGCCTTCTCAGGGACTAAGAGATGAAAGGAGAGGAGAAGGAGTGAAAGGAAGGGAAGAGAAGGAGATATAAAAAGAACTAAGATGTATTATGTACGTGTACCAACTCCCATGATGGACATTATCATGTACTGTAAACAGACACTAATAAAAATGAATTTTTAAAATGGGAAATAACAGACTTCTCCCCTAGCTCTCCAGGTGATTCTGATGCAATCCACTATCCTCTGCCCACCCCAACACATATGCATCACCTCCAACTTGATCTACACTTTCCCAGTCACAAGTCTATGAGACTTTGACAGAGCCAAGGCAAATAACTACCACAGGGCTTTGTGCCACAACACTAAAATTTACAGGGCACAAGAAGGTCCCGGTACTAGTTTTAAAAGATTGTGTGACTTTAAATTTTGTTAAATTTACATGTTGACAGCCCAGGCATTCCTTTAGCGATGTAGAAACAACTGAGCTTAGCACCTCGTTAGCAGGAATAATTAGTTAAAAGGAGAAGGTAGCAGATGGTGTGCATTGTTAATAACACCCCTCCTGTGCCAAATGTGAGGCACAAAGTTGATCAAGGGCCCATTTAGTGTTACTTGCCCAAGGCATCAAAATTGCCAGTTTGGGACAAGTGCAAAGTCTGGCTTCAGGGTGGCTTAGTACTGAAAACCTTGGTTGGCAGGTTCTCCTTGGCCAGTCACTACTCTAGCACACGCCTTCACCACCTGCTTACAACTTATTAAGGAGGTGAGATATCTTCTTTCTTGGCTTTCTCAATTTAAACCTCAGTTTCTGCCTTGAATCTTCTGTGCCGCAGGGGCCAAAAAAGCAAAGAGAGAAAATGGCATCAAAGCTGAGTGTAGAAGTGTTTTAAACCCAGGCGAGTGTCTTCACCATCGTGGCACTGCCTCAGAGGTTTCGTAGTGATCCAACTTACTTTCAAAGGGCTCCTGTGAACCAGCTCTGCACTACAAAGTACACTAGAAGACTTAATGTCCATTCTGCCACCACTAGCTTTGTGCCCTGAACAAATCCTTTTACCTCTCTCAGACACCAAATGAGCAGGCTTCCTGTTTGTAGCCAAACCTAATGCATCATTACTGAGTCATACGATCCTAAAAAATTAACTTCAGTGGACCACATTTTCATCACCTGCACCAAGAGGACATTGGGCCCATGATCAAGGCCCCTCCCACGGGTGATCTTCCATGGGTCTCTTTAAACTAGTTCCTCCATTCAGGTAAGTGTGGACAGGTTGACTCTTGAGGTTATGGTGACTCATTCAAGGAGACCAGACAGCAAACACTTGGGGAGTCAGGACTGTAACTCCATGAGTAGAGGAGGGGGACTTAGAAATAGGTTTTGCAGCAAGAGGTGAAGGCGTGAAAATGAAGGAGCTTCCCCAAGAGAAGATGTAAAGAAAAGAGCGAAAGGTCAGAGACATCCTTAGAAGAAAAGGAGGCTAGAAAAACTGCCAAAGAAATAAGATAACCATTAATGGTTAGCAGCAGAGACTAGGGTAGCTTTAGAGAGAAAATGTTTCAAGAAAAGGAGAGGTAATTTTGACAACTGGTTTTTTTTTTTTTTTGGTTTTTGGGGGTTTTTTGGTTTTTTTTGTCTTTTTGAGACAGGGACTCACTATGCAGTTCAGGCTGGCCTTGAGCTCACTCAGCCTTGAGCTGGGCTAGCTCACTAGCCCAGGCTGGTCTCGAACTCGCAACAATCCTCCTGCCTCAGCCTCTCGAGTTCTGGGATTACAGGCGTGCACCACCACGCCCGGCTCAACAACTGTTCTTCAGAAGATATTTCTTATGAACAATACTAAATGAACCTCCCTGGCTTACCTGTAGCCCTGACCCAGACCCCCTCTCTCCAGGCTGTGAACCTTCATGGAGGTATTGATATCCTGGTCTCCAACGCTGCTGTCAACCCCTTCTTTGGAAGCCTGATGGATGTCACTGAGGACGTATGGGACAAGGTGAGAGAGGATTAGAGCAGCAGCAAGGCAGGCCTCAGAAAGCATTCAGCACAAACTCACTCTGCTTTTAGAATGTCTTCAAGTAACGTGTAGATGGGATGTGCCACACACCTGGCACGCACCTGGGAAAGGGCAAGTGAGGGGTGGCTTCCTCTGTTCTGCTCTTCTCTCTCATCTCAGCTTCTCCCCAGTTTTGCCTTCCATTTGTTCTGTACTAGCCACCTTCTGCTTCCCTTCCCAGATCTCTCCCGCAGTGTGCTTACCCACGCTCTGCTTCCTGGTTTATTTCCAGCAGAGATGCGGCAGCTAATAGGCCAACAACTAATACACTTAAACTTACACACCCACCCGTCCCCTTTTAGCTGCCAAAAAGAAATGCTTTTTCATTAGCTGGGAAACGTTAATTACTGCTAGTTAGGTGACATACCAATTTTGGTGACATGACTGAAGTTGCTGCTTTATAACATACAGCCTTTGAAAAAGACCTGTCCTTGTCTCTTCTTAACCACAGTATTGTGAAAATCTGAGAGCCAGTTGTCTAAATTCAAATGCTGGAATACTGGATTTTATGTGGTCATGTATATTTACATCATACTCATAATATATCTCATGCCCCTACATCCTTTAATTATAAAGCTTTAATTAAACTATTTGTCTTTATTTACTAAGGTTAATATTCCCATGTGATTTTAGTGAATGTTGACCCTTCTTAACTGCTGGTGGGAGTGTAAACTGGTGCAACCACTAAGGATATCAGTATGAAAATTCTTCAAAAAACTAAAAATAGAAATCCCATTTGACCCAGATATTTCCTTTCTAGGTATCTTCCTGAAAGAGTTAAAGATGTCATATTACAGAGGTACAGGCATACCCATGTTTATGGCAGCACAACTTATAATAGCTAATTCTTGGAAGCAGCCTATATCCATCAACAGATGAATGGATAAAGAAAATATCATAGTTATATATAATGGGAGTACTACTGTGCCAAAAAGAAGGATAAACTTAGTCATTTGTAGGAAAATGGGCCCATAATGTAAAGTGAAGTAAATCAGATACACAAGCTTAAATATCACATGGTTTTTCTTATATGAGAAATCCAAACAATAAATAAAGTGCAAAATAAAAGGCAGACAGTAGGAGAAACTACTATTACCATTGTTAAATTTCTTGTGTATGATAATGAATTGCAAATGTGTGAGAGAATGTTTTTGTCTTTGGACGTGTATGCTAAGGCATTTAGAGACACAGCACTGTCATGTCTGTGACTTCATTTCAATGGTCCATTTAAAAGAAACTGTGAACACAGAACAAATGACAGAAAATGTGAACAGTGAATGAATCTAGGTGAGGGAGAGCTGCACAGTCGCTGTACTTCTGTTTTGGTTTTTTTTTTTTTTTCCAAAATTGAAGTTTTTCAGAATAATTGTCATGAAACATGGGAGGGGAATATCCCAAAATGGTTTACATTAGAACAATGCAAACAAGGTCCTACAATTGCTTTACATTGGGAACATGGAGGTTTTTATTTTGGCCTGTGCCCCAGCTTCCCAAAGAAAACCTCATGAACTCACTTTCTGACAAATGTCTAGCTAGATCATCCATCCTGGAGGCCCAGGAGCATCCACTCTCTAAGCTCAGAAGCCAGAGAAATACCTAAACCACCTCAGGTGCACAGGTCAGGACACATCTGCCCTGAGGGGCACAGCCCCCTCTAGGTCCAATTCCAGGCTCTCCCTACTTGGAAGAAACACAAGAAAACCTAGCTCAAGTCCAAAGCTGCCCTGAGAATTTAGGCTTATTTTAGGCCTCATCATAGTTGGCTGGTGAGGAGAGATGAGCCAGGTTCCATCCTCAAACTAATGTGCACCATGCAGCTAAATGAGCTGGTGAGGAGTGCACCTCCCTGAACCCTGGCTTCTGTCCTTGTCAGGCCAGGGCAAAGTATCCCTTAAGTCTCCATCGGCTCTAACAAACAGATCCTGGGAGCACATAGTGACTCCTCATCACTGTACCCTTCCAACACTTCTCACGCTGTTTCCCCTTCTCTCTCTTTCAGATTCTGGACATTAATGTGAAGGCCACAGCCCTGATAACAAAAGAAGTGGTGCCAGAGATGGAGAAACGAGGGTACAGAGAGTGAGAGGGAGCCCGGGTGAGACAAGGCCCCACAGGGGCTGAGGGCAATGGTCTGCAGTGGAAGGAGAATCAGCTCTCTTTTTTTTCCAGAGGTGGCTCAGTAGTGATTGTGTCTTCCATAGCAGGCTTCTCTCCATTTCCGGTAAGAACCCCTTTGTCTGTCACTTCTAGCCACTCTTCATTCCACATCTTTCCACCTCTCCAGTTGCCCAGAGAAATACGTGTCCTGCTTGAGAATAACATCACCAAGTCCTTTCCCACCAAAGATGCCTGCCTCCATGAACTCTGTGACCGTCCCTTTAGGGAGACACCTACTGACCACTGCACTTGATATCAAATAAGAACTAAGAATGACCTGGTAACTACCAGACTAACCCATTCTCATCTTTCTCCAGGGCCTGGGTCCTTACAATGTTAGTAAAACAGCCTTATTGGGCCTTACCAAGAACCTGGCCTTAGAGCTGGCTCCAAAGAACATTAGAGTGAACTGCCTGGCACCTGGACTCATCAAGACTAATTTCAGCAGTGTGGTGAGGAAGGGAAACACTGCAGTTTCCAGGGGGCTTTGAAGGGCATCCATCTTTTTGGATAAGGAAGCCTGGTACCTGCATCCTGAGCTTTCACCCACTTCTATCTACCCCCTATACCAGCTGCCTTTCCCAGGCAACACCCACACACACTCCTTTCCTGGGGTGCAGGGTAGAGACTGGAATTCAGTTTCGTATCTCCTAAAGTGTATGAGAGTTGAGGAGACCCAGCAAGATCATTCACTGAGGCTAAAAGAATGGAACAGAGGAGGGCAATAGGGAGAGCTCTGAGCCAAGAAGCAACAGAGAGTGAAAGGAGGAGTCTTTCCACCCTTCTTCTCATTTGATGGGGGGACAATTTCCTCCCTTTGCTGCCCCTCAGTTTCCTCTGTTGCACATAAAGACATTTCCCTTCTTCCTGCAGTTGTGGATGGACAAGGCCAAAGAGGACAGCATAAAGGAATCCATGCATATTAGAAGGTAAGCTGTCACAGGGATGCCAGGGAGGGATGAAGGTAGAAAGGTCTGGTCCCTACCATAGCCCACAGCTCACTGTCTTGGTTCCACAGATCACACAGCCACACCCTTCCCTGCCTCACAGACATCAAAGTTCGTAAGACCTACATTGCAGAGACCTTACCAAGGAGGCTACTTCCAATACAAAAAGCACAGGCACCACAGTTTCAGCAGAGCAACACTGAAAGGAGCCCGACCCCTTCTCTCTCTCTTCCGGTCTATCTCCACCTCTGGATATCCGTGGAAACTAGGAATCAAACCAAAACCATGTTTTTTAGTTAGTTCACCTTTAATAAAGAGTCACATTTCCAAAACTTAGGTTGATGATCCTACAATCAAAATAAAAGGAAGGAAGGGCTTTACTAAGCTCCAAATTCTTTTGCATAAGGAAATTATTCTTTTCCCCAGTTGGCTGGCTAAACTGTTCAGACACCTTTGCTGAGCTACCTTTCCTTTAAGTTATCTACCTCTCCCCACTGTCTGGCTCTTGGGCACTCTTGTCGGTCTTCTCCATCTTGACCCCTCAAGGACAACTGCCAGCAATGTGTACCTCTTTACTGGTCCAAACATCCCAGACACGAGTCCTCCCAAAGCCATTCTGACGGCAGGCATGAGCTGCAGGCCTACTACACAACTCATATAAGTCTGGATATTGTCACCTAGAGCACCAATGGATGACCTAGCCCCATGCAGCACAACACTGGATGCACATTAGAATCACCTGGGGAGCTTTCCAAACGGGTGTTGTTCCAACCCCAGAGCAGAGGTTCTTCTTTACTTGGTCCAAGGTGGAAACTGCACATCTTTTTGTTGTTGTTGTTAAGCCTCTCAGATTCCAAATGACTCCAATATATAGCTAGATAGAAGAACCTAATCTAGGCCTTCTAGATTTGAGCCACCCACTCTGCCCACCTCTATTGCATGCTATTGCAGTCAGTTTAAGTGTTCCTAACTACAGAATCACTAATACAGTGAGAATTATCACATTCTTACAAAACAATAACCTGAAAGGACAAAAATAAATTCCTGAAGAAGTTGTCTGTACTGAACCTGTACAAAAGAAATCATTTAAAACACATCATTTACTGTCACAGACTCCCTCACACTTGAATAATATGTACACATGTGAGACCAATTCTTTTGAAGTAGGAAATAATCACTCACCATTTTATCAATACACCTTTTTTTTTTTTTTTTTTTTTTTTTTTTTTTTTTTTTTTTTTTTTTTTTTTTTTTTTTTTTTTTTTTGGTACCAGGGAATTGAACTCAGGACCTTGCACTTGCCAGGCAGGCACCTGTGCCACTGAGCTATATCCCTGGCCCACAACTTTAGATTTTGGTGTTCTTAGCTCTCTAAAAAGCAGATTCTCTGTATGATTTGCATATAATTGTAATCGTTTTGGCAGAATACAGTATTTATTCTTACACTAAATTATAACAACTTATCCTCATGGTAAGCAAAAAGCTCATAGACTGTGCCTGAAAAATCATCTAATAATTCTTGGTACCCAATTTTATTGAGCCAGGTGATGGGGCCTTGCCTGTTTTTTACTCCCTTCCTTGTTTTCCCATCCTCCAGGATCGGCAAGCCAGAGGAGTGTGCAGGCATCGTGTCTTTTATGTGCTCTGAAGACGCCAGCTACATCACAGGGGAGACAGTGGTGGTAGGGGGGGGATCTCCATCCCGCCTCTGAGGACCGGGGCAGACCCTTTTGCCTATCATACTACTCACCCCACAAAATCAGTTCTGCCCCACCAGTCAAGGAGTGGTCTGATGAGGGTTCTCACTGTTGCTGTGGCCTTGGATAAAGGCTTCCTTGAGAACACAGTGCAAGCCTATTGAGAAGCCTGCATCTACCTTAGCAAAGACCCACAAATATTTTTTTCCTAGATCTCTGGGGAATTTGAGGGGAGATGGGAGAGAACCTGGAGTGGAAGGAACAGGGCTGGAAATTAACAGCTTGCAAATGAGGTGCAAATAAAATGCAAATGATCGCCTTGCTTTGAAGCAGTGTGTTCATTTCTCAGTGTGGGGTGCTTAGGTATGGCAACTGAGCAGAGAGAAGCCAGGGCAGGCTGCAGCTCTGGATCCCCCATCCCTCCTCCCTCTCCAGGACCTGAGCTTGCAGCTCCGGGGTGGAGGTGTCTGCAGAGCTGCCAGCTGGGAGGAGATGGCTCCGGAACTCCCAGGTGCTACTCTCAGCTTCACACCCCGAGGGATGGGTGCCAAGAACGCCAAGGGGATCCCCGAGGCAGGGTGGGAAAGACGGAGAGGTTGAACTCCCCTAGATGCGGCCAGGTCCTCTCCTGGCATCGTCCTTGGTTAGGAATTCTCTCCACGGTCAGCAAGGACGAGCTGGACCGGTCCTGAACAGGCAGGGGTTAAAGGGAGGGGCCCTACAAGGATGACCCTCGGGGTGTGAGGTACCCAGACCCGTGAACAAAGACATTGGGGGGTGGGGTTCCCAGAGAAGAGTGGGTGGCACAGAAAGCGGGAATGCTGCCCTGCGCCCCAGAGACAGCGGGGACACCAAGCGACGCGCACCGACTCGCTCACGAGGCAGCCCGCGGGAGGGGTCGGCGTGAGCGCGCGCGGGGTCTCACGCGGCTCGGCGCGATGTGCGCATGCTCGCTCCGGCACTCTCCGGGCGGGGCTGGAGGCCCGGCGCTCCCGGGCGGGGGAGGAGCGCTCGCGCAGCCGCCCCTGACAGGCGCGGGCTCGGCGGCGGCTGCAGCGCGCAGCGCCGGGCCCTGCCGGAGCCGGACTAGCATGTGCCGCGTCTCCCCGGCGGCGACGGCTCCTCTGCAGAAGCCGCAGCGGCCACCATGGCCAAAGCCAGCGTGGAGCTCACCCGCGAGCTGCAAGGTACGAGGTCGCCTCTGTCCCCGGGACGCCCCGTCCGGGAGCATCCCAGACCCTGCGTTTTCCTGCCCGCGGTACACCCCAGCCTGGCGCCGGCGACCCCTTGTGCGTCCTCGCTCCAAAGCAGCCCCTACCCCTTGGTCCCCGCGCGGGTGTCGCTGTCCCCGGAGCATCCTCCTCTGCTTGCCTCACCCTATCAGGACCTTTCTGTCCCGGCACCGCCCGTCCCGCTCCTCGGTGACAGGTGCAGTTCTGCGCCGCGCTGCCGGGCCGGCTGTCAGTGTTCCTGACCCACCCCTCGGAGAGACGTCCGGTCTCCCCTCCGGAGAGTCCCCGCGTCCCCCACCCGCGCCGGGCGGGGCCAGGAGGTGGGAGCCGAGAGGTCCGGACCGCTGTTGGTCTCAATATCCTCCCTCCCCTCCGCCCCGCCCCGGAACTGGCCCTGGAGATGCTCCTAGGAGCTCGGCTGCGCCCAGACCAGGAGGGCAGAGAGTCAGGGGAAGAGCGCCTGGGTTGGAGCGAAAACCGAGAGCAAGGTCTCTGCGAGTCACCCTCTGCAATCCCAGCCTGCCCCCTTCTCAACACCCACCGCCTACACCTCAAGGCCTCTCCTGCTTACTGAGCTCTCAGACCCAGCCCAAACCAAGGCTGACCCCCAACGCTGCCACAGCCCTGACCCCCGAGGCTGGAGCACTGGCTCGCGCTAGCCCACGCAGAGAGCCGGACGCTCAAGGATACTCAGAGCGTGCTGCACTGTGGCGATTCCCCACACCTACACATTCAGAGGCACACAATCATAAGATGTGTGTACACACGACTTTACAGAAGCTGCATCCCTCACCACACATATGCATACTACGGGCTATCTGGACGGTTCGCCAGCAGATGGGTATGGGGCTCATTTACACACTAAAATCCTTCCCCTCACCCCCCAGTCTGGCACTGTGCCCCTTTCACAGCTGCAAACCAGCATGCTCATTCACACTTCTCTGTCCCCGCCAGTGCCACGCTCAGGCTCCTGGAGTCATCAGAAGTGTGCAGGCACCGTAGTAAAGGCACTGTCACATCCAGACCACTAGATACCATCAAGGGACACCCCCACACTCGCACACACTGACTCACTGTGTATGTGTTGATGGCTGCTGTAGTACATGGGTTAGAAACATCCTCACACCCTCAGAAGTGTAAGACACACCCTCCCACAAACACTGTCACTCAGCAACTATCCCTTGACTCAAGGACACCAGGAGGCAGAGTTTTCAGCGCACAAGACTCCCTCTAACAGGAAAAGTTACTCAAGAAGGAAAAGTCTCTGTCCTGTACTTTGTCCCTGTTTCTCTCTGCTCTCATCTGCCCCTGGCTCTGCCTCTCTCTGGAGAGCTCCGGGAGGTGGGGATGGCCAGGGTAAAGGGAGCTCTGAGCAGGCCCCCACTCACCCGCAGACAGTATCCGGAGGTGCCTGAGCCAAGGGGCTGTGCTCCAGCAACATCGTGTGAAGCTAGAGACAAAACCCAAGAAGTTTGAGGACAGAGTGCTGGTGAGGGCATTGGTCTGGGAGGGAGGAAGGAGTTGGGCAGGAGAGAGAGATGGGAAGGGCTGAGGAGACAAAGCTGGCGGGGGGCTGGACTGGGTCAAGTCCAGGAGCCTAGGGTAGGGCAGGAGAGGGGGCACAGCAGAGCTGAGTGGGCTAAAGGCGGGCAGGGCACCAGTGCCCAGGCAGCTACCATAAACCACCCCTGCTCTTTTCTGCAGGCCCTGACCTCCTGGCGCCTCCACCTTTTCCCCCTTAAGGTCCCTGCCAAGGTGAGTGGGGCAGAGAAATGGAGGACACCTGGGATGCTCCCCCCGACAGCTGGCAACCAGGCCTTTACCAAGAGGGGGGCATCCCTGTCCCTCCAGGTGGAGAGCTCCTTCAATGTCCTGGAGATCCGCGCCTTTAACACCCTCAGTCAGAACCAGGTGAGCACTAGCACTCGGCCTGCTGCTGGGCCAGCTGGAGAAGGGAATCCGTATCTGAGGCTGTCCGCTCCCTGTCCCCCAGATCCTGGTGGAGACTGAGCGAGGAACGGTGAGCATGCGGCTGCCATCAGCCGAGAGTGTGGACCAGGTGACCCGACATGTGAGCTCTGCCCTCTCCAAGGTCTGCCCTGGTCCTGGGTGAGTGGCAGACAAGGGTCCTTTGAGGAATTAAGCAGGGAGACTTCTCTTCCCCTGCTCCTAGGCTTCTGGGACACAGGAAAGATGCGTATGCCCCCCTCTTGCCTTCCTGGGGACTCAGAAGCTATGATTTAGGAAGAATTGAGAGCTTCTTTCCACCACCCTCTGGTGTTATTTGTTCACCTTCCAGGTGTTTGATCCGGCGTGGAAATGCAGACACCCCAGAGGGACCCCGAGACACATCCCCCAACTCTGAGACATCCACATCTACCACTCACAGTGTGTGTGGTGAGCAGGGGCAGGCAGTACTGTGGGACTGAGACTACCTCGTCCCATGTCCAGAGCATGCAGTTTTGCCAGAGGGGCCTTTGCCTACCCTAAGGGCTCCCCAGCTCCTGGATTTCAGGAGGCTCAGAGGGTAGCAGGAACCTAGGGCACGAGCATCTTCAGTGACCTTGACTGTTCCTTGAACCCCAAGCCTCCTCCCCGTCCCCTTACCATTCATGAAGCCAGCCCATCTCTCAACCACAGGTGGCTTCTCTGAGACCTACGCTGCCCTGTGTGACTACAATGGGCTGCACTGCCGTGAGGAAGTGCAGTGGGTATGTGGGCCGGGACCCAGCAGGGAGCAGGTGGGACGCAGAGGGAGGAGGAGAGCAAGGGTGGGGAGTGGGTACAAGCCAGTTCCACCTCTCCAAGGATGTGGACACCATCTACCATGCTGAGGATAACCGCGAGTTCAATCTTTTGGATTTCAGCCACCTGGAGAGCCGGTAAGCAGATGGGGCCGCGACTCAACCCCCTACACTCCCAACGCTGACCCTACCCAGGGTCTCCCTACTAGTCCCACCCACAGCCCCTGCTCTGTCTCCCCAGCTCCCCTACCTCTGCTGCCATCCACCCGTTGAGATTTTCCCAGGCCAGCACCCCCATCCCTCGCCTCTTCTTTCCTGTCACAGCCACCTGCTTACCACTTCCCACCCCTTCAATGTCCCCACAGAGACTTGGCCCTGATGGTGGCAGCCCTGGCCTACAACCAGTGGTTCACCAAACTCTACTGCAAAGACCTGCGGCTGGTAGGAATTAGGAAGGGCTGAGGGAGGGAAGAGTAGTGTCCTCCTTGGCTCCTGATCTCAGGACGCTTCTGTCCTCAGGGCTCAGAAGTGCTAGAACAGGTGCTACATACCCTGAGCAAGTCAGGGAGCCTCGAAGAGCTGGTGCTGGACAACGCCGGGCTTAAGACGTGAGGCCAGCCTCCTCTGTGGCCAGTGATGCCCCCATCGTGTGGTCTTAGGGTCCTGAAACCTCAGAGCATGGCCTGGGTCCTTGAGCTATCCCATCTAGCTCCTATCTTTAGAGAGGAGTCTGAGACCCAGAGAGGCCAGAAAGCAAACCAACAGTCAAGCTAGGACTCAGACCTCAGCCTCCTGATGCCCTAGATGCATGTGTGGCTTTCTCCAGTGCACCCCTTGCCCTATCCTCCCTTTCTGTCAACTACTAGCAGGGCGGGCTTCTCTAGGCTTGAACACACAGAGCTGGGCTTTGTCTCAGCACAACTTCCTAAGGCATGGAATGTCCCCAGGTACTCCAGAGAGGTGACGAGGTCCCTGGCAGGCCCCTGTGGGGCAGCCTCTGTGCTCTGACCATTGCAGCCCCAGCCAGGCAGGCAGGTAGAGGAGGTGGGGAACTCAGGGGCTGGGACCTGGGTCTCGGCTCAGGACAAATCCTTCCTCCCCTTCCCCAAAGGGACTTTGTCCAGAAGCTGGCCGGGGTGTTTGGGGAGAACGGGAGCTGTGTGCTGCATGCCCTCACTCTGTCCCACAACCCCATCGAGGACAAGGGTGAGCCCCAGCCCTGAATCTTATTCCCTCCACATGCAGAGCCTTTCCTAGCCCAGAACCCAACCCAGGTCTAACCAGGGGCTCTTTAGCCTGATGGCAGCCCCTGCCCCTGTATCTCCACCTTGGCCCCAGGCCTGCACCCCACTTGAGCCCCACCTGACTGTGCACCCACGCCCAGCCTCTCACAGGGCCCATTCTCTCTCCACTGCCCAGGTTTCCTCAGTCTGAGCCAGCAGCTCCTCTGCTTCCCCACTGGCCTCACCAAGCTGTGCCTGGCCAAGACTGCCATTTCCCCGCGAGGTACTCACATCAGGACCCCCGACCTCTGACCTCGGCCTTCCCCCAGTCTGCCTGCGATGTTGAGCCCCAGATGTGCACCCACACATTCACACCTCAGGGATCAATGGAGGAAAAGGAATCACATTTCGGGAGCGGGGAAGAGTTATACAGAGGGGGAAAGGTGGGGATGGGGGCCAACCCAGCCCAGTGCCCGCTGTGCTCAGGGCTCCAGGCGCTGGGCCAGACCTTCGGGGCCAACCCTGCCTTTGCCAGCTCCCTTCGATACCTGGACCTGAGCAAGAACCCTGGGCTGCTCGCCACAGACGAGGCCAATGTGAGTGCGTGGAGTGTTGCCTCAGCCCCCTGCAGAAGCACACTCAGGCCTCAGGACCTGAGAGTCTTCCGCTCTGCGGCCCCTGGGTTGGAGAAACTTTTCCACCCCTTCCCCCACAGTCTCTCTGTCCTCTCTTCCCCAGGCCCTCTACAGTTTCCTGGCCCAGCCCAATGCCCTGGTGCACCTGGACCTGTCAGGGACTGACTGCACTGTCGACCTGGTGAGGGGCTGGTAATGCAGGGAGCCAGGCAGAAGAGATTTAGGGAGGCCGGGGTGATGCCTGTCTCATCCTGTCTTCCCTGAGTACAGGGGTGGGCAGAGCCAGCAGGATGACTTCAGTTTCAGCTGTAGCTCATACCTGTGTGCATTTATCCAGGGCACAAGGCTGTGCCCCAAAGCCACCCCTCACTCCATTCCCTGATGTGTACCCTGACTTAGGGCTGCTCCACCAGTGGAGTAGGGTGAGTCCCCTAACTTGCAAAGACACCCTGGGAGCCGGTAGTGGCCCTGCTTTACACGCCCACTGCCTCTCAGTTGTTCCACACCCATGGCCACCAGGCAGCAATAGACCCACTTTCCGCAGTGAAGAAAACAGAGCCTTTGAGACCAAGTGGGGTGGTACATACCTATAACCCTAGCACTCTGAGAGGCTGAGGCAGGAGGATCCCAAGTTTGAGCCTGGATAGGGCAATTTATTGAGACTCTATCTCAAAATAAAAAATAATAAAAAGGCCTGGGAACATAGCTCAGTGCAAGGGTCCTGGGTTCAGTCCTCATTACTGGGGGAAAAAGTGACTTAAGAAGCGTAGGGGAAGAGCTCAGAGAGAGAGGCAGGAGCCAGGACCTTAAAGGGAGAGCAAGGGGAGTCTTTGCCCCACCCACCCTTGTCCTCCAAGCCCCTCCAAAGCCCTTCACTCTCCCTACAGCTTCTGGGCGCCCTGCTCCATGGCTGCTGCGCCCACCTCACCTACCTCAACCTGGCTCGCAACAGCTGCACCCACAGGTGGGGTCAGGAGGGCCAGGGAGGGCTGGCCAGGGAGGGCCACTGCTCGCCCTGTCTTTTGCTGACCACAGGGGTCTCCACAGGAAGGGCCGGGAGGCCCCGCCGGCCTTCAAGCAGTTCTTCAGCAGCGCCTACACACTGAGCCACGTCAACCTGTCGGCCACAAGGCTGCCCCTAGAGGCCCTCAGGTCGGGTGGGTGCGGGGTTGGGGGCATCTGGGCGCCATGGGGGTGTGGGGAGGACTGAATGTGGCCTATGACCTTCCTCCCACAGGGCACTGCTTCAGGGCCTCTCCCTCAACAGCCACCTCAGTGATCTGCACCTGGACCTCAGCAGCTGTGAGGTGAGTCCTCCATCTCCCCTCCCCCAGCCACCTGCCCCTCACCACCACCCCAGCATTCCTTTTTTCAACCAGAATCAAACCCCGGCTCCATCTTGCCACTGCACTTACCCCACTGTGTTCCCTGCCCTGACCACACCTCTGCTTTCCCTCTAGACTGGTCTGTGACCCTCCTTCCAGAGGCCATTCATTTTCCAAATCTATAACTCTGCCCCAAAAGCTTTGGGTGGGAGATACCAGGCTTTCCCAGCAGAGGGCAGGAGCAGGCTGTCTTAGTAGCAGCCTTTTTAGCGGCAGGAAGGGAGAGGCCCCAGGAAAGCATGGGCTGTGAAAAAGGGGTCTCCCTGATTTTACACTCAAGACCTGGTATGACTGTGAGTCTGGAGATCACTGCTGTGGTCCCTAAGAACTAAAGGTGCCCTGTCGCCCACCTCAAACCCTATGTTCCTTGCCTTACGCCATCTCCGCAGCTCCGCTCAGCAGGAGCTCAGGCCTTGCAGGAGCAGCTGGGATCTGTCACCTGTGTGGGCAGCCTTGATCTGTCAGACAATGGTGAGGAGCAGTGCCTCCTTGAGCAGGGGAAGAAGCCCGGGGGAGACTGTGGTAAGCCTCAGGCTTCAAGGCCAGGCCTCTCCCATCCGCTGACCAGGGTTCGACTCAGACCTCCTGACATTGGTGCCTGCACTCGGCAAGAACAAGTCCATCAAGCACCTGTTCCTGGGCAAGAACTTCAATGTCAAGGCCAAGTGAGCCCCCACCGCCACACCCACAGACCCTCGTCCTATCACCCATCTGACCTAGGCTCATGCACTACCCCTGGCCACCTCTCCCCTCCAACAGCATGACTCCAGCCCCCTCCCCTCCTGCCCTGAGCCCCGCCTCCCCACAGGACCCTGGAGGAGATCCTGCACAAGCTGGTACAGCTGATCCAGGAAGAGGACTGTGTGAGTGACCGGCCCTAGGAGGGGTCCTGCAGTGGCGGGGGCTGCAGGGACTGGGCCCAACCCCCGCTTGCCACTCAGTCCCTGCAGTCACTGTCAGTGGCAGACTCCCGGCTGAAGCTGCGAACCAGCATCCTCATCAATGCCCTGGGCAGCAACACCTGCCTGGCCAAGGTGGATCTGAGCGGCAATGGGATGGAGGACATCGGGGCCAAGATGCTGTCCAAGGCCTTGCAGATAAACTCCTCCCTCAGGTGATGCCAGCACCTGGACCCTCAGACCCCAAGCCCCAAGACTCCCTGCTGGGCTCCATGCCCTGATCCCCAGCCTGTGGAAGACACCCAGTCCCAGAACTGGCTCTGAGTCAGCCTCGGTACCCAGGAAAGGAGGGAGGGTTCCATCCCTGGCTCATAATGGGGACCCAGAGAGAGGCAGGTGACAAATTGGAGCTCCCCCTCTCCCCAGAACTATCCTATGGGATCGGAATAATACATCTGCCCTGGGCTTCCTGGACATCGCAAGGGCTCTGGAGAGGTGAGTTGACCAAGGCTGTCCCCTGATTCAAGCCCCCAGCCACCCTGTGGGAGGACCAGGTATGAGCTACCCCAGCTGCACCCCAATCTCCTTGACTTATTCATAGAAAAATGAGGAAGGGCCGGGGCATGGTGGCGCACACCTGTAATCCCAGCACTAGGGAAGCTGAGGCAGGAGGAGCACCACAAGTTCAAGGCCAGCCTGGGCTACAAAGTGAGTTCAAGACAGCCTGAACTACATAGATCTCAAAAAAAAAAAAAAAAAAAAAAAGGAAGGTCTGTGGAAGAGGAAATGGTGGGCGAGGGGTGGGTTTTAGGGAGCCAGGCTGCTCGTTTTTAGGTGTTTCCCCACCCAGCTGTACTGTTGTGTCCCACAGCAACCACACACTGCGTTTTATGTCTTTCCCGGTGAGCGACATCTCCCAAGCCTACCGCAGCGCTCCTGAGCGCACTGAAGACGTCTGGCAGAAGGTGCTAGTGCCGTGCTGAGTGCGGTGGGACAACAAGGGGCAGAGGGCAGCCCACATCCCCAGCCCTGACCCTGCCCTCTCCGTCATCTCCAGATCCAGTGGTGCCTGGTGAGGAACAACCACTCCCAAACGTGCCCCCAGGAGCAGGCATTCAGGCTGCAGCAGGGCCTGGTGACCAGCAGCGCCGAGCAAGTAAACATTTCCCTCCAGAACACATGGGGCAGGCACGGGGCTCGCAGGGCTCAGGAGTGAGGTGGTGGAACACAGGGTGGGGGCACAGAGTATCACATGGCCCTTAACTGGACTGAGCAAGTGGGGGAGCAAAAAGACAGGAAATTTAGAATGTGGGCCCTTACATGTGTAGACAAATAGTGGGTAGCCCCCAGACAAGGGGTACACAGGACTTGAGGAGTTCAACTGGGCATTCAGGGACATACCAGGAAAGACCAGGCCACCCAGAGACATTTCCACCACCATCCTCAGGGGGGCACCAGTAGCACCCATAGGCCCAACCTGGAATGCCTGACACTCCTGCCCCTGTGCTCCAGATGCTGCAGCGGCTGTGCGGACGAGTGCAGGAGGAGGTGCGGGCCCTGAGGTTATGCCCTCTGGAGCCTGTGCAGGATGAACTTCTCTATGCTCGGGACCTCATCAAGGATGCCAAGAACTCCCGGGCGGTGAGCGCTCTGACCATGCCAACCCAGGCGGTCCAGGCACTGCCCAATGCCTCTATCCTCCTAGTCCAGGGCCCCCAAGGATCTCCTAAGGCCTCATTCTAGTCTCTAAATCTTACACCTTCCTTCCCCAGCTGTTTCCCAGTCTCTATGAGCTGGGCCATGTGCTGGCCAATGATGGGCCTGTGCGGCAGAGGCTGGAGTCGGTGGCCAGTGAGGTGTCGAAAGCTGTGGACAAGGAGCTGCAGGCAAGTCCGGGGGGAGGGAGGAAGCCATGAGGGAGCTCAGCATTCACCAGGGCCCTAAGCTTAGAGCTGATGGGGCAATTACTAGAGGGCAAGAAGTAAATGCACAGAGATGAGACCACCCATAGTTCCCCTGTGCCAAGGCACCAAGGTCATACAAGTCTTGGATATTTTTTCAGCTCTTATTTGAGCCCTGAACTCCTAACTCTCCCCTGTCTGTATTCTGATCCTTGAACTGACTTCCCCACCACCACCCCCGCCAGATGGTAGGGGATAAAGAGCACTGACCAAGAAATGGGGAAGCCTGAGTATCCCAGGCTCTGACACAGCCATGTGATCTCCGGCAGGTCCCTCAGTCTCACTGCAGGGACTACAAAAGATAGGCTACAGTCGCTTCCCCTGTGATGTGAGCCCTGAGCCTGTCCCCTTGGGGCTGTGGCCTCCTTTTCCTTCACCAGGTGATCCTGGAGTCCATGGTCAGCCTGACACAGGAGTTATGCCCTGTGGCCATGCGGGTGGCCGAGGGACACAACAAGATGCTGAGCAACGTGGCAGAGCGCGTCACTGTGCCCCGGAACTTCATCCGAGGGGCTCTGCTGGAGCAAGCGGGACAGGACATTCAGAACAAGCTGGAGTGAGAGGCTAAGGCTTGGCCCCGGGGCGGGGCTGGATTTGGCCCCGAGCACTTAGGGACTTGTGAATTATCAGCAATGAATAATAAATGGAAAATCTCCATTACAAGGGATAAATCTTTAACCGAGTGCAACCTTTCTATTCAGGGTCTGACTAGTCTTTGCCCTAGAAATCTTAGTGCTGAGCTAGGGTTTAGGAGCCAGGGTGGTGCACAAACGGGTATACACACACAAAGTCACACATATACACCAACAGTTGCCTCTGGGAAGCAAAACACAACCTCCTCAGAGACCTGGCGAAGAAAAACGGTGTAAGACAGGTACATAGGGAACCCTTCTCCTCCAGCCAGTCTTTACTGCACTCAGAGTTCTTTCCTTCAGGGGTCAGGGTGCTACAGGATGCCACATCCCAAAGCAAAGGAGATGAGTATGCATATCTGGGGAATAGCCAGCCTCAAGAAGTGCTGATTTCTACTCTTGCATTAGCAACCAGCAAGGTTTGCTGAGCACCCAAACTTACATAGTTCTGTTCCACTGGAGCATCTGACCTGGAGCCTCCTTCTCCTCTTTCAGTTCCTCTTGGCCCATACACACCTGGGCTGAGGAGGTCAGGGGTGGGACAAGTCATGAGTGTGGTGGCCCTGAGTGCCTCCGACAGCAGCCATGTTCTGTGTGGGCAGCCAGGCCAGCTGTGCCATTCTCTCAGGCATCCAGGCAAGGAGGTGCTGAGGCTCAGAAGCCAGGCAGGGGCTGGCTAAGCAGTCTCACCTATGCCCACAGTGAGGTGAAGCTCTCGGTCGTTACCTATTTGACCAACTCCATAGTGGACGAGATCCTGCAGGAGCTATACCACTCCCACAAGAGCCTGGTAAGTCTGAACTCGTCTAGGCTCCTCCCCTTCCAGACTGCTGGAGGTGGACCACTTTCCTGAGATCCTGTTCACACCTGTCTTCCCAGGCCCGGCACCTGACCCAGCTAAGGACACTGTCAGATCCACAAGGAGGGCCAGGCCAAGGGCAAGATCTGTCCTCTCGAGGCCGAGGCCGGAACCACGACCATGAGGAGACCACAGATGATGAGCTTGGGACCAACATTGTGAGCCCTCTGTACCTCTCTCTCCCTTTGCCTGGGTCTGCCCCCTTGAACCTACCTAGCCTGCTCCCCACCCCGCCTCCACTGTCTGGGTCCTCTCTCCAGCTCCCTGTGCCTGACTCATCTCTTCCCTCACCCACTGTCTCGGCCACCTGAGGAGAAAGAGACAAGATGGGTTTTAAAAAGGCTGTATAAGGAGTGGGGGGTTCAGGTGAGGATCTAGGATTTGACACCCAACCTACCCTTTGTCTTCATTCCTGCAGGACACTATGGCCATCAAAAAGCAGAAACGCTGCCGCAAGATCCGCCCCGTATCTGCCTTCATCAGTGAGTCCCGCAGCCTTGGTTCTAACGTCTGTCAGACTCCCAGCCTTTCCCCAGGCCCTTTTTCCTTTTCTTTTTTCTCTACCTCTCCATCCTCCTCTCTCCCTGTCCCTGTTGCTAGTCCCTCTAACAGTGCTGTGCCCACAGGTGGGAGCCCTCAGGACATGGAAAGCCAACTGGGGAACCTCGGGATCCCCCCTGGCTGGTTCTCAGGACTCGGGGGCAGCCAGCCCACAGCTAGTGGCTCCTGGGAAGGTCTATCTGAGCTGCCCACTCATGGCTATAAACTGAGGCATCAAACACAAGGGAGGCCCCGGCCGCCCAGGACCACCCCTCCAGGACCTGGCCGGCCCAGTGTGAGTCCCAAAGGCCTTGTAAGCAGACCAACTTTCCATAGCAAAGCCAGAACAAGGGGTTCTATCTTTAGGACCCAGAGGGCAGAGACACTAGCTTGGAGGGTTGGGTCAGGACTCCAGGCAAGCTGTAAAACAGTTGAGGTATTATTCAGTTTGGAGAAGAGCTATACCTTACTACAAATATGAAACCTCTGTCTAGCCAGGCTTGGTGGCACATACCTGTAGTCCCAGCTACTCCAGAGGCAAGGCAGGAGAATACCTTGAGCCCATGAGTTTGAGACCCGCAACATAGGCATACATATCAAGACCCCATCTCAGAAAGAAAAAAAATCTTTGTCTGCCCGGCAGGGACATTTTCATTTTGGTGAAGAATAATGCTAAGACCCAATAAGCTTAGGAGATGCCCAGGCAAACTGAAGTCTAAATTTCCATAGGGCTAACTCCAATGGGGAAGGCTCTGAGTGGAGGGGAAGTGGGCCTTCCTGAGCCTGATGAAATATCTCACAGGCCTTTCCTCCCAGCAGGTACCAGTGGCTGGGACACGCCAGGAGAACGGGACCACCAGCTGCCTGGATGAGGGGCTGGAGGACTTCTTCAGCCGGAGGGTCATGGATGAGAGCTCCAGGTGTGACGCCCAAACGCACTCCCATTCAGCAGGTCCCGAGGCTACTAAAGCACTTGTCCTCCAGCTCCCTCCAAGTCTCCAGCCACAGTACCCCCAAGCCAGCCTGTCTGAGACACTCCCCACATCCTAACCCTTCCATGTCCATCTCTTAGTTCCCACAGCCTCTAAATCTCCTCAGGGTGACGGGAAAGGAGGGAACCACAAGAGTGCGATGGTGGGACAGGGCCGGGGTAACAGGCACGGGGATGGGGTGGGTGTGAGTCCCTGAAGACTGTAGTCTCTGTCACATATTTTTATTCAAATCAACTCACCTTTTTTCACTGAGTCTAGACCTAAGCATTGTCAGATTGCTGAGGGTCTGTCAGGGAGCTGGGTCACTGGAGAAACTGAGGATTTGTGGGGGACAGGGGTGTCTGAGCGGAGGAGTTGATGTTGGAGAATGAAGCTGCTGGAGGAAGCATCTCTCCGGAGGATGGAGTAGAGGGGGCACAGTGTAGCAGGAGAGGCTAGATGAGAGGGCAGCGGGCGATTGGAGTATTCAGGATGGACCAATACCAGCACCACTGTAGGCTCCATCTGCCACTTGTCACTGACTCACCCCAACTCTGCCCAGCTACCCCCGAACTCTGAGGACGGTGCGGCCAGGCCTCTCGGAGCCACCACTGCCTCCGCTCCAGAAGAAGAGACGCCGAGGACTGTTTCACTTTCGCCGTCCTCGGAGCTTCAAGGGGGACAGGGGGCCAGGGTCCCCCACCACTGGACTCTTCCTCCCTCCGCCCCCGCCCCCACCCCCAACTCAGGAGAGCCCCCCTAGCCCAGAGCCCCCAAGCCTCGGCAATAACTCTTCTCCTTGCTGGAGCCCAGAGGAGGAGAGCAGCCTCCTGCCCGGATTTGGGGCGGGCCGGGGGCCTTCGTTCCGCAGGAAGATGGTAAGTGAGACGGGAGAGATGTGTCCTGTCCTCCTGTGCTAGATGTAGCCCATTCCCTGACCCCACCCTAGAGGGGGAGCTAAGACCCAGAGTTCCAGGGAACACTGATCATCAGTTCCCCTCTCCTGGAGAGTGGACTAGGGTTTGGTGGCCCAGAGCATGCTGAGAGGGCTGCGTGTGGAGTGGAGCATTGGCAGGAGTCCTCACAGGGTGTGGGGTGGACTTCCTTAGGCATGGGAGCTGCGTGGGACAGAGGAACCCCCAGGGGCTGCCCTGCAGCCTGGGGAGCCCCTTCTCCATCAGGGACTGCTTGTCACCAGGAGACCTCGTTCCAGGGCACTGAGGGGTCAGAGGCAGGGGAGGGGAGCACAGCCCCAGGGACAGCACAGCAGCCGGCGGTACATGGTGTTGCCCTGCCTGGATTAGGAAGAGCCAAGGGTTGGAGCTTCGATGGGAAACGAGAGGTGAGGGGAGCTTGGGGCAGCAAACTGAGCGTCCTGTGGGTCCATTTCCACCCTTGCCTCCTCCTTCCTGGGGACTCAGTGGAGAGAATGCGTCCTTTGGCCTTAGGAGGTGTTGGCTGCAGTTCTGCCCCTACCACACACTTGTCAGGGAGTCCGGCTCTTTTTCAGAGGAGTTTCACAAAAACACTTACCTCCAGAGCTCCGTTCCTCAACCTCGGTGACTTCGTTACAACCTTTATGATGGATTTTTACCTTATCCATACACCTTGAATTATTATTTACCTAATTATTTTTTACTTAAATCAACTCACTTTTTTTAACCTGGTCTAAACCTGAGCAATATCATCTTTAAAATCTCAGCTTTTTGTACAAGGCACTTTTTCCTACTACACATAAATAAACACACAACTATTATGGCAGCAGTATGTTCATTTGTGTAAACCATTTCTTATGCCCCTAGGGTGTCATGGGTACCACCCCTTGGGAAACATGACCCAAATATCTAGGAACTGGCAACATAAAATGACACAAGATGCTAAAGCAGAGCCCTTTGTCAGCTGCAGTGCCCCTTGGGGATACTTGTGTCACAGCTGACTCAGTTCTGCTTTCAGGGCACAGGTCCTGACCTGGAGGACAGCACCCAGGCATGGCAGAAACGGCGCTCTTCAGATGACGCAGGTGAGCCTGACACCCTTGCTGCCTTTTATGCTTCTCTCAGGGGCCCCTGCTAATTTTCCTTTTCACTTTCCTCCTTCCACTTCCATGTCCCTCCCTCCACTCTTAGGTCCTGGAGCCTGGAAGCCCCCACCACCACCCCAAAGCAGCAAACCAAGCTTCAGCGCCATGCGCCGAGCAGAGGCCACATGGCACATAGGTATGGAGAGGCCCCTCTCGGGCGGAAGCGCTAACAGCCCAGGGTGTGTCCAGGCAAACAGAAACGATGGCCTCCACTGTGGGCAATTCATGATCAAGGTGGGGCAGAGAGAAGTCAACACAGTAAAAACATGTAAGAATGTTTACAGAGCTACACCCAAAAAGAGCAACAGCCCAATCCAAAGAAAGATTCTACAGAACAGAAGTGGCTTCTGGGATTTAACAAACCGGACCACTGCCTTGTGGATGGGTCCAGTGACTATTCTAGGGCAGGTATCGCCTTGTTCACCTTCAGCACAGTGGTGCCCTCATTCCATGTCTTAGCTGGGAACAGGATGGGCAAGTCAAACTGCCAGTCAGTGCCAGCTCTGTAGGCCTACTTCAGACACTCTAGCCTCCAGAAACAGCTTGCAACTGGTCCTCAGGTTACTCAGAAAGGTGCCCCCCGCCCAAAAAAATGCAAGTGCTCTGCCTTAGAGGTCAGGAGCCCTAGATATTAGTCCCATCAGCCACCCAGGACCTTCAGTGGGTCATTTACTTTTTTACTTCATGACTGGAGGAATAAAAGGGCCAATTGTCCCAGGTATGATGTTTCCTTCCTGCTGAATTCAGGGACCTTCTGCTTAAGCAGCCACTAAAGAAAAGCTGGTCGGCTCACTATCAGCTTAAGTTCCAAAGGTCTGGAATACGACCCCTGAAAATACTGACATGGACAAAATCACCCTATACACGGAGACACCCCTCACATTCTAAGGCCAGGATATAGGACTGGACAAAGCTCAGAGATGAGCCTGCAGGGCTGGCGTGGGGCTTCCCACTCCTTGTCCCGCACTACCCTATTCTGCCCTTGCCCCTCTCTGCCCCATAGGTCAGAGCTAGGCTAGCCTGAGGCCTGGCAGTGCCTGTGCGCCTGTACTATCCTCCAAGCCCCTTATCCTTGTTAATGCCCTGTGCCTCACACAAACTAGGTAAAGCGTCTGAAGTAGGGATGCATCCTTCACTTAGGGAACCACAACAGCAGATGTTCCACAGCACACACGCCTCACAGAGACACTCGCCCCCTTAGGTATTCTACCTCCAGCTTGCATTACTTAAGGCCATCCTCAAGCTCTCACCATCTAATCGGACTGGCACACTGTTCTGGGAATGCCAGGCTGCAGCCTTGGCAGGACCCTGGGCACTGCAGCCCTGGATGGGCAGCCGTGCCTGTGTTGCCCAGCAGGCCCCACATTCTGGCTCTACCCCACATGAAAAGGTCTGGGCTGTGCTCTGCAAAAGAGTTAGCCAGGCCAGAGCCCCTCCAGAGGTGACAGCCTCAGGGAGATGCTGGGGACCAAGGCTAAGGAAAAGTGGGAGTAGAAGGGGACATTGAAGGCAGAGATGTTAGAGCCAACGGGCCTGGAGGGGGACGGGCCTGGCCGGTGAGGGTGTTGTGCGAGAAGACTGGGGAGGGTTCTGGCAGAATGCCTTTTCCTGGACTCCTCCTGCTGCCCCCCACCCCCAGCCGAGGAGAGTGCCCCCAGCCACAGCTGCCAGAGCCCCAGCCCAGCCTCCCAAGATGGAGAGGAAGAGAAAGAGGGGACTTTCTTCCCAGAGAGGACAGTTCCAGCAAGGAATGCCAAGGTGAGGGCCAGCAAGGTGGATAGGGAGGGTACTTTGATGGGGCAGAGACTAATCCAGCATCTTCCTCCTCTGCCAGCTGCAGGACCCTCCTTTAGCTCCACGGCCCCCCAAGCCAGTGGCTGTGCCCAGGGGCCGCCGACCCCCCCAGGTGCCAGGGGGAAGGGAGGAGGCTGAGACTGGGGCTGCAGCCCCAGGAGTCAACAAGCCCCGGCTGAGGCTGGGCTCACAGCAAGACCAAGAGGAACCTGAAGTCCAAGGTCCGCCATCCTGGCTGAGTGGGGGGCTCAGGCAACCACTGTGATTTTGCTACCCAGATTGGGTCATTTTCCAAGGGATGGGATAAATGACAACGAGGAGTCACATTCTGGATAAGCACCCCAGTTTGTGAGCTTCCTGTGGCTGTCATTTCAGGGCTCCCCGACCCAGGCCGCCGGACTGCCCCCTTGAAGCCCAAAAGGACACGGCGCGCACAGTCCTGTGACAAACTGGAGCCTGATAGAAGACAGCCTCCTGACCCCACAGGTGCTAGTGGTAAGGGGGTGGGTCCCCCTTACCACCAGTCTGTCCATCTGTCTGTTATTGTACCTCCTTAAGCCCCAACATGGGGTAGTTTTCTCTCCCTGCCCAGGAGACAGGGCTCCCTGGATTTGTCCCCAGCAGGAACCAGTGAGCCCGGAACAGACTGACAGCCGCTGCAGCATCTTCCCCAGCCTTCCTCTCGACATGTGCCTCACAAGGACTCAGACCCCCACCCATTCCTGCTCCCCCAGACCTCCCGCTAGCCCCTGTCCTACAGAGACAGGATGTAGGGCTGGGCATAGAGGAGCAGGAGGCAGGGGGACCGGAAGGGAGGAAGCAACCTGGAGAAAGGGAGGCGCTCATTGCCTGCCTCCATGCCTTGCTCTGCAGAGAGCTTTGGGTGGACCTGTCTCCTCCCCTGGGAGGGTGGATCGCTGTCCCTCTACCCCCAGGGGCTTCTCCCCACTTGTATAGAATAAAAAAAAAAATAATAAACAGTCTGCTTCGAGTCTCTGTCTTCCCCATTCACTGCCCCTCACCTCCTACCATCTGCTCCTTTCACACAGGCCCCCAGGGCTCGGCCACAGTGGGAAAAATAAGAAACCCCACCAGGAGGGGGTTGAGCCTCTGGGAGGAGAAGGAGGAAACAGAGAGCTGTTGAAAGAAAGGGACAAGGGGCTGGGGATTTAGCTCAGCGGCAAAAGCGCCTGCCTGGCAAGCGCAAGGTCGTGAGTTCAGTTCCCGGTACCGGAGAAAAACCAAAAAAACAAAAAAAAACCCCCCCCAAAAAAAAAAAAAGAAAGGGACAGACAAGTCCCCAAGTTAAGTTGGGGTTAGGTGCAGGGTCAGGACTGCAGAAAGGACACCAATGACAGAAATCAACAAATTGTATGTGTCCAGTTTCAGGGTGCAATGGGGTTGGAAGACAGCCACAGGAAGCTCACAAACTGGGGTGCTTATCCAGTATATGGGGGTGGGGGCAGAGTGTGTGTACATGAATCCACATGCAGGCTCACTAAGGCTATTTCCTGTTGTGTCAGGCTGTGGGATGTAGCTCAGTGTGAAGGCCCTGGGTTCAATCCCCAGTACTAGAAAAAAAAAAAAAAGGGCAAAAATCTCAACAGGAAAATAGCTTACAGGTGAACAGACATCTTTATGAAATGAGAAGATCAAAAATTAAATTAACCAGGGGGCTGGGGATTTAGCTCAGCGGCAAAGCGCCTGCCTGGCAAGCACAAGGTCGTGAGTTCAGTTCCCGGTACCAGAGAAAAACCAAAAAAAAAAAAAAAAAAAATTAAATTAACCATTTTCTTTGATTTCCTAACAAATAGTAATAGTAACCTTGGCATTCAAGATCCCCTGGGAGTTCCTCTGAAATGTCATTCCTGCTGCCTTCCTACTCATCCACATTCCATTCTGTCACTGTGCTCCCACTGCATTATGTACAGGTCCATAATGTCGCATCTGTCATATTTAATTGCATTTCACATTGGCTTGTCATCTGCACACGTGTCTCTCTGTTCCATATACCTCTGCCTCCCCCAGGGGCAGAGACCTAAAGTCTTAATTTTCTCTTTAGCCCCAATCCTGGCACCCAAGATATGGTTAATAAATGAGCAGCTTAAAGGATAGAGAGTGAAGGTGTCCTGGTGACTGTGCTTGTGTTCCCATCCCGGATCATCATGTGCTGGAACCTCTTCATGTGGCTTCTGTCTCCCCAGGCAGTTGCTCACTTCCCCTGGTCTTGTTAGGAATGACTAATGTCTTGTTTCCTTAAGATCACCCCGAGGTACTGCCCCCCCACAAGGATGTGGCCATATGGGTGGTGGGGGGGGTGGTTGTTGGGTACATTGTGGCACTGGAAAGATGCCCTGGGAGTCAGTCCTTCAGCACATGTCCCAACTGTGCGGCTCTGTCCTCAGGGGCTGCGTGACCAGAATGTGAGCCTGTGTGCCCTAAGCAGTCATGTTCACTTCCTGCATCTCTTTATAAAAAGATGGCTAGGGAACTGAACATCACTCTCAAAGCCATGAGATTCAGACTGGTACATGAGGGTCTTTAAGGAGCAATGAAGACCCACACTCTACTGTATCCCAGGTCTGTGCGAGTGTGTTCGTATGTGTGATAAATACAGCACAGTGTTCTTTTATAGGTGGCTGAAAATATCCTTAACAAGTGTAATACTGTTGAGAGTGTTGTGAAGCTGTTGGGTGTGTTTTCCACTGTGTGTTGGTGCGGCTGTAGCTGTCATGGTGTCACAGTGAGTTTACATACTGGAGCCTGTGCGTGTCAAGATATGTGTGAGCCTGTAAGTCGTGGGTGCATGTGTCACCATCGTTTCTGTGTGGATGTGTGTGCATGAACCACTGCAGTGTGCGTGTCTCTCTGTGATGCTGGGTGTGGGTGTCGTGTGAAGGGAAGATGTGTGTCACTGTGTCTGTGGGGGTCCTGCCTCTGAGCCTCCCCCAGCCCGCCCTCCTCCCCCAGTTCTGTGGCTCCCTCCCAGGCAGTCGCCCTGCCCCTCCTCTCTTCTCCCTCCCAACCCGTCTGTGCGGGGGGAGCTGGTGCTACAGCCCCCCCACCCCTTCCCATCCAAGCCCCATAAATAGCAGCAGAGCCGGAGCGGAGCCGGCGCCAGCGGCTGGAGCGGCAAGAAGTCAGGGCCAGGGCCAGAGCCGGAGAGAGGAGCCCCGACTGCAAGCCCAGGTGAGCCCACCCGCCCTCCCCAGCCCAGCCCCAGCCTGGCCCAACCTGGCCCTGCCTGGCCCAGTCTCCATAACAACATCTCCTCTATACCCCAGAGAGGCCCCCAGCCCTGTCCGATCCCCTCATCACCACATGTCCCTGCCTACCTCAGAAGCCCCACAAGAACTGGGAGAATAGCGGCTAGAAAGCAGAGAGCCCCAGCCCAGACCCTCCCTCCCATATCCAGAAGACACACATAGTGGAAGAGGTGGTGGTTACCCAGCCAGGGAAGGGTCCCCATTCTGAGGGAGGTAAGGAACTGTCACACCCTCCTGGAGATGGACACATGACAGATGGGGACAGACACAGAGGGTGGGGCATTCAGACATTGATGCACACTCGCCTGGAGAAACACGGCATGGGATCAGAAGCCTCACCCTGACATCTGGGCAGAAACAGCTGGATGGACTGACCAGCCGTGAATGCAGGCTGGCGTGCCCCTGCCTGCTGCTGCCCCAGGCTTGGTACCACTGCTGGGGGAGGGTGGCGCGCATGCATCCCACGGACAGCATGGAGGGGGCTGCGGCTCCCCCAAATCCTGTCGCTAAGAGACAGTGCCAGCGCTGCCAAGAAGTGTGAGAACAGGGGAGGTGGGGAGGAGGCAAGGCTTGTCATAGTGGGATCCCCTGTGGGAGCCTGGAGGAGCTTTCAGCAGAGATGGTCCTGATCTTAATGTTTAAGCCCACCACCCTCCTCTCCCACGAGTCAGCCAGAAATGAGTGGGGGCAGGGAGACAGTCCAGCAGGGCACCTTCCAACCTGGCTCCTCCACCCACTGCAGACTCCATTCCCGAAGCACGTCCTCTTCAGACCTCAGGGGCCTCTCCATCCCCTGCCCCACCCCCTTGTCCCAGTTCAGCTCCCTCGTGCCAAGACTGAGTGCAGTGCTGGCTCAAACACCAGTCTGGAAATAGCAGAAGGTGCTGAGACAGCAGAAAGTGTGAATCAATCGATGGCCTAGGAGCCCAGACTGCCAGAAACCCAGCTTGCATCCCAGCCCTCCAGCCCTTTCAAGCCCCATCCACACACCCGTAGGTGGGTAGGACTGAGAGAAGTGCAGGGCTCTGATGCAGGAGCATGAGAATTTGATCCTCTGTCCTCCACTGCTTAGAGGTCTGGGGAAGCCAAACAGGTAGCGGAAGCAGGAGATCCATGAGACTCCAGCCTCAGAAAAAAGGGCAAGATTCTAGGGCCCAGAGTACAGTGTCCAAGCCCCTGTGCCTCTTCCCCACAGTGCCATGTCGGACCCTGAGATGGGATGGGTGCCTGAGCCCCCAACCATGACGCTGGGGGCTTCCCGGGTGGAGCTACGAGTATCCTGCCATGGCCTCTTGGACCGAGACACACTCGCCAAGCCCCACCCCTGTGTGCTGCTCAAGCTGTACTCTGATGAGCGGTGGGTAGAGGTGAGAGAATAGGAGTTTTTCCTGAATCGACCTCCTGGGTTAGGCCTGGGAATGAGGGAGGCTGGGTGGGAGAAGATGAGGACTCCAGAGGACCTTTTCTAGGCCATGTGGGTAACCATGAAGACAAGCATGCCATCGTTACAAACACAACCCATTTTACAGTTGAAAGCTCGAAGAGTCCCAGAGGGTCCTGAGAGTGCCCCAGAGGCAGAGGGATAGCTCTCAAAGGCCTGAGAGCCCCAGAGGGCTGTGCGTCTTGTGGGCCAGCAGCACTCTAAGCTCAGGGATCAGCCCAGGAAGAGAACTAGAAGTTATTGGGAATACAGGACCCGAAAGAGAGCTGGCAGGACCTGGGCAGGGAAAAGTAGCCTCTTGTCCCAAAAGGCCCTCACTCCTCTTGCCGCAGGTGGAGCGCACGGAGGTTCTTCGATCCTGTTCCAGCCCTGTCTTCTCCCGGGCACTCTCCCTCGAGTACTTTTTTGAAGAGAAGCAGCCCTTGCAATTCCATGTGTTTGATGCTGAGGATGGAGCCACCAGCCCCAGCAATGACACCTTCCTCGGCTCTACGGAGTGCACCTTGGGCCAGGTCTGCGTTCTAGGTCACCTTCCCCAGCCTTTGTCAGCTGCTGCTTTGGGAACCTGAAACAAGAGGGAGCACGAGATCTTGAGCTAATTCAAACTGGGCCTGGATGCCACCGTGTTTGTTATTCATTGGGTGTGGAGCCATAGGCAAGATATTTACTTCTCTGAGTCTTAGTTTCCCCATCTAAAAAAATGGTGTGGGGTGGAATATTATAGTGCCTCCCTCTTTTGTTCTTTCTTTTTTTCTTTAATTAATTAATTTATTTTTTCTTGTTTTGGGTGCTGGGGATTGAAATCACAGCCTGATACATGCTGTGTAGGCACTCTACCCCTGAGCCGGAGCTACAGCCCCCTGTAACTCCCTCTTAAAGCTGCTGTAGAAATTAAGTCCAGCCAGGCATGGTGGTGCAGGTCTGTAATCCCAGCACTTGGGAGGCTGAGGCAGGAGGATCATTGCAAGTTCGAGGCCAGTCTGGGCTACAAAGTCAGCTCAAGGCCAGCCTGAGCTGCACAGCGAGACTGTCTCAAAAAGATGAAAAAAAAAAAAAGAGAGAGAGAGAGTAAGGAAGAAATTAAGTCCAGTCAAAGGGCCAATATGGGGACACTCTGAGAACACTTATTATTCTACCCCTTCTATGTATCGTGGCCAAGGCAGTGGGTGCGTTACAGCTGGGTCTCTCTCCACTTCCATCCCCAGATTGTATCACAAACCAAGGTCACTAAGCCATTACTGCTGAAGAATGGGAAGACAGCCGGCAAGTCCACAAT